AACTATTTTATAAAAAAAACTCTCTCAGTTTTGAAGATATTTTAATAAAATTTTGCACACGCACTCATAAAATCATCGAAATCGGTTCACTCTAAAATCTAGCTCCCATACAACTGATTGTCCAGAGACGTTGTTTTGCGTTATAACTCCTCCAATTAAGCAGGTAAAAATTTAGTATAGGTTCACTTTAACATATAGCACGCATACAATTTATTAATCAGATATGAAGTTACAGTTATAGCGCAAAAACACACATTGGAGCTACGTTAAAATGCACCCATTTCCATAATTTTAAGGAGTAATGAAGGTAATATTAAAAAACCGTTATGTGCAAAATTTTAGTAAAAATAACTTCAAAACTGAGCGAGTTATTTATAAGATAGTTAAAATTTAATGAAATTTTCAAATACCGTTATCTCGAAAACTGGAGCCGGTCTGGTAAAACGGGGGATGCCATTGAATGTAGAACATCCCAATTAAGTGAGTTCAACTTTCAAAATCTCTGCTCAAAATTTACAACTTGAACAACGTAATTTGAACCCAGCTTAGCCTTTTGTTTTCTATTTCATATTTATTCCTCGTCTAACTTTTGAAGCACTTGATGAAAATGAATGAATATTAATCAAGTGCAAATTATTTCAATAAAATTCAACACAATGGTTACTCCGTATAATGTTTTTTAATAATACGTTATTTTGATTTGATTTGGTTTTTTAAACAGGTAGCAATCTTACTAAATGTAATTGAAAAGCCCTTTCAAAGCCGTTTTGTATGATTTTTGTATGTTTAGCGTAGTAATTCATTGAAATTAATTGAATTAGATTTTTTGACAGGTGGCAAACCATCTCTTGTTCCATATCCATATTGTTAAAATTAATTTAACCTATCATATACATTGAAATTAACTTTTAAGCAATTGGCAGCCCTGTAAAAAATAGTTTCAAACTATAACCTTATTAAACTTTTTAGTCTCACACCAATATTGTTATACATATTTCAGTTACCTAATTCCCTTGAATTCCCCATTAGCAGGTGGCAACCCTTTTTATGTTCTAACCTAAACATAAACCCTCTCCGCGGCAATATGAATACGTAGGTATCAATGTTTCCACAATCGGACCTCGATACCATGGAGTCTACCGATGTCAAACTTCAAGCAACGTTATTTTCGTTGTTTTGATCGAATACTTGGACATCCTCCCACTCTCTTTACTTGATTACAAACAATTACAGTTTTAAATATTGTAACACGTCGTTTCTAAACATTTTGAGTTAAGATTTTCATAAGAATAATTTTACCCGCCTAAATCGGTCAAATACCCCTATGTGCGACAATCCCACTGACTCAGCCAGTTGCCTACGCACTGTGCTAAGTTCGCCCTGTAAATTACCGTTGCTTTTTTCCCACTTTTTCATTTGTTAAGCCAACACAATCAAGTGCAGCTGTTCCAGAGCGATTGCATCAGTTTTGGGGAGCACGGATTATTTTTTCCTTTTTGCAGCTCCGGATGCTCCCTACAAAACTGCACATAAAATTGCAGCTGCTCCTGCGGGGTCCGTTCATATTTTGCACTTTTTCTGGTGTTTCACCGCTCATATTTTTTGCAAATAATAGCGTTGATCAGCTGTTTCTACAACAATGAACTTTACACCATGCATGGTAAGTTGACAAAAGCTTTTCGCTTGTCATTTTTTGTTAGGCATTGTGCAACGACAATGACAAAATCACAACAATGAAGGATGATCAATTGTCATTCTATTGCAAAACCGGAATAGGGCTGTAAACCAAGTGTTGAAAGAAAGCTTATCTGTATTAGCAGAGCTTAGTGACATCCTTTTATGAACCATATGTTAAGTTGAATGGAATTTGGAGAAATATGCTTCAAAAAATATTTATTGGTATTTACCAAACCTTTCAACTAAATTAACGATTTGGTGCAACCTAGATGAATATTAGAAGATTTAATATATTTAGTTATAATTACCAACCCATGGTAATAGTTCCCAATCCTTGGTCACAGTTCCTAAATATTTTCAAAATTCGGGAACTAACCCTGGCACTCAGTAAGCGCTCTCTAGTCACTAATAGTGACTTTTGGTGCTGAACTTGGATTTTGAGACTATTTGGAATTCAGTACGCTGTCTCACGTCTCTAGTCTCAAAAATAAGTCACTCATTTGTCAGCTGGCTAAGAGCCGGTCACAAAAATAGAACTATGGAGTAAAAGCTTATTTCTTTCCATTTTATTAAAAAAAAACGCGAAAATGAAGCGAGGAAATTTGTTCAACAGGAATTTCATTAGGAAATAAACCAAAATGCTTTAATATCATACAAATGTATTGAAAAAAATTTAATTTTTTTGTTTTTAAAATATTAAAATCTAAAGATTGTTAAAAAACATAAAACTAACAAAAAAATAAAAAAAAATAAAAATAAAAAAATCCTCTACGGCCGAGGAGGACTTGAACCCGCACCCTCTCGGCTGCCAGCCTAATGCTTTGACGACTCGGCCATTGCGACTCTTTGAGCAGCGCACAGTGGTTCGGATAGCAGATCTAGCTGGACGAAAGTCAAAATATTTTGGTTTTTAAAATACTTAATGGTACTTGGAATACATTCCTGACAATACATTCAAATAGAAATTGCATTTATTAAAGCATTAACATATGAAAACAAACAAAAAAGGTAAGTCAACGCCGCCTATTTGAGAACTCTATTTTAAAAGCTGAAATTTAACTTAAAAGATTGCTAATTGCACTCCCAGATATTTGCATAATTGCGAATTGACTTTATAAACAAAAAATTACACTTATTCCGCTATAGATTCAGAGGTCATAACGCAATTTATGTCCACGTAAACAAATAAACATAAACAAATTTATTCTGAAAAATCGTCGTTTTGATTAATTAAAAAGATAAATTAAAGAGTAGGAAAAGTAAAGGCCGCCGAAGACCGTTATAAAACCACTTGCATATTATTCTTTACACCTTCGCAAATGCAGAGGGTAAGTTCGATAACCAAGTCTTACCAATTGGCTTAGATATTTACATTTTAGTGACAGTATGTCAAATCTCAAAATTCAAAAGTAATTATTAACAGGAATGTATCTGAATATAAATATAAGATCAGTGGCGGATCCAAGGGGAAGAGGGGGGAGGGGTTGTGTGTTAAAACAGAAAAATACTTGGAGTTATAAAAACTTTGGTTATGGAAGAGTTAAAAAAAATAGTAACTCGCGAATTTTCTGCTTTCTGAAATTAAAAAATTATACAACAGGCATGCAAATCATTAAGCGCTGTTATAAATTTTTTTCTGAAATTTATTTGTGTTTCTTGCTGTGACCTTAAATTTTAGTCATGGTAAAGAAAATCTTAAGAAGTGAGTTGTTTGACATTTAGAGAAGTGTTGCTAAAACTTCTAAAAGACAACAAGGTGTCCGTGATTATGTGATTAGTAAATTGAAAGAAAAATCTGATGAAAATACTCTTTCCGAAGTAAATAAAGTAATCCGCCATTTTGAATTTTTGGTAAATGACTTTAGATATGTAATCAGCGACCCAGAAAACCCCCAGATACCCAGTTTCGTAGAAATCTTCCGATTTTTTGTAATTTTCGTCCGCCATATTGGATCCGCCATTTTGAATTTTTGATAAGTGACTTCAGATTCGTAATCAGCGACCCAAAAATCCCCTAGGTAAGAAGTGGTGTAAAGATCCATCAACGAGTATTTGTTTAAATAGTTTAGTCCAGCTAGATTTGCGATCCGAACCACTGTGCAGCGCGGGAAAAACACTCAGTTGACTGTCTGTGTTTGCTTTCACCACACATTTTTGGCGAACTTTTTGTGACTCTCCCCTTTTGAATACCCAAATCGTCTCAAGTCACAAAAATAGTCACTAATTGCTAATCTCAAATTTAGTGACTTGAGATGAGACTGAATTTCTGAGTCTCAGGGGATATGTCTTTAGTTGTCGAAACTAATCCTTTTTCTCAGTGTACGCATACATGTGATACTTATGCTTTTAATTTATAAGGTAATTTTATGTTTTTATACTCTTGCTACCACATGAATATATGAATTCGTGATAAGAATATATGAATTCGCCTTGGAAGATAAAAAGCGAGTAAGAATAAATGCCGAACAAAGGAATTTGTCTTCTTTCAACTTAAATAAATGCATTTTGCAAACAAAAGTGCGTACGTTACTTAGTGCCTTGGTAATGGCGAATTCGTAAGGATCTATTGATTGAATTATAAATATTTTCATTTATTTGTTAAACATACAATTACTTCCATTACAACCCGGTCCTATGGATGCTAGAAGCGCGAATTCATATAAGGTTGTGTTACAGGAAAATGAATAAATAAATTATATGTATATCAAAAAATTAATAAGATGAAATGAAATTATTGTTTGATTTCTAACCAAACCTATGTATGTAACTCAATCGCCTAATGGTTTACCGAACCGTAAACATATGTACACACATCCAATTTCGTGAGTAGGTACCTGGTACTCCAACCTTTTTTAAGAAGTTTCACTTCTATCATGTGTACGGTGTTACACACGCATTTTTTTTCATAGGTAAATTAAGAAATCTTTATTACATATGCTGTTGTTAAACAATTTCGCCCACGAGGCACAGAAATTGTTTAAATGTTCAATTTTTATAAAAAAGACTGAAAAGCAAAAAAAAATTTTGTAACGCAAATAATTGTATAGTTTAATGTTTATTAAATCTGCAACCAAAAATCTTTTTCGTTCGGACACTTACTTTCAAAGAAAAGTAAAAATTTCCAAAACACTGCAAAAATTTTTAGTTGTTGATTAAAAAAAAAACTATTTGGAATTTTGCAGCAAAATTTACACAGTGTACTTTTCGACTAGAAAACTCGGCGCTGCCTGATTATCACTGAAAAATATTAATCTTGGTAAATTCGGGACCCACTTGAGGAAGCCTTATCCATATTTATGTATTATGTATGTAGCTCTACTTACCAGAACCCCACAAATATCCTCCTGCATTGTAGTCATGGAAGCCGTGTTATCTGATTTATTTATTTGAACTTGCTTTTGTTTCATTCGTTGTAGCTGTTCGTGCGGCTTTTTCGACTGTTCCATATTTACTTGTTGATGAAATAACTGAGGCTGAGGCAGGACGGACGCATGGTACTTGGCACGCGGTATCATTACAGTGAGTGACCGATCGGATTGATCTGGATAATTTCGTTCCAAATCTGTAAACAAATTATGTGTCTTCATCAAATACTTTCCACTTCCATTGGTATTTGTGGTGAAACATTCGGTGAGTGGAAGACGGTCATAGGTGGAATGACGCTGCTCCTCTGCTTGAATACTGTTGTCAGTCTTTGTGTCGGGATGTCTAAACCGATGATGCGACTTTTTCGTTCTCGTAGTGGACTCTTTCTACAAAAAAATATGAAAATTAAAATTCAAACTTTAAATGTAATTAATTTGTAAAAAATTCAATATTTCCACCAAGGACGAGATTTACTGTTTGGTACATAAAAAAGATCATTTGAACACGTACTACTCAGTGCTGAAAAGAAGGAAGTTGCAACTCTGCATGTAGAGGGTGTGGTCCAGCACTGAAAATGCTTAGCACGTAGGTCTCGTCTCAAGAACTTGCACGCTTACGCTGTCAGAAAAAATGACCACGAGGGCTCCTGTCTGTTTAGTTCAACATTCATGGATTTACATATATGTATGTGTCTGGTTAGCTTAGGGAGTGTTCAGAAGCGAGCACGAAAGTTGCTAAACATTCATGTAACAATTTTGACCGCACCATTAGTAACTGTTTTGTCACGTGGGTGTCTCTTTAGTGGCAAAATACTAGCCCTGTTCGCGTACGCACTGTCCAGTAAAATTCAGTACTAATTTTACTGGTTTTTACTGGATAGCCTTTTCGCAATAAACCAGCAAAAGGGAGAGAATTGAGGGAGAAAAAATTACAGCTGAACTTGCAAGTTTCACTGGATTTTTACTGGACAAATTTTTACTAGTAACTATTTGCCAGTAAGAAAAACAGCTGATGGCATGATGCTTTATGCAATTCACATTACCAAAATAATAATATACCGGGTGATTTTTTAAGAGCTTGATAACTTTTTTTTTAAAAAAAACGCATAAAATTTGCAAAATCTCATCGGTTCTTTATTTGAAACGTTAGATTGGTCCATGACATTTACTTTTTGAAGATAATTTCATTTAAATGTTGACCGCGGCTGCGTCTTAGGTGGTCCATTCGGAAAGTCCAATTTTGGGCAACTTTTTCGAGCATTTCGGCCGGAATAGCCCGAATTTCTTCGGAAATGTTGTCTTCCAAAGCTGGAATAGTTGCTGGCTTATTTCTGTAGACTTTAGACTTGACGTAGCCCCACAAAAAATAGTCTAAAGGCGTCAAATCGCATGATCTTGGTGGCCAACTTACCGGTCCATTTCTTGAGATGAATTGTTCTCCGAAGTTTTCCCTCAAAATGGCCATAGAATCGCGAGCTGTGTGGCATGTAGCGCCATCTTGTTGAAACCACATGTCAACCAAGTTCAGTTCTTCCATTTTTGGCAACAAAAAGTTTGTTAGCATCGAACGATAGCGATCGCCATTCACCGTAACGTTGCGTCCAACAGCATCTTTGAAAAAATACGGTCCAATGATTCCACCAGCGTACAAACCACACCAAACAGTGCATTTTTCGGGATGCATGGGCAGTTCTTGAACGGCTTCTGGTTGCTCTTCACTCCAAATGCGGCAATTTTGCTTATTTACGAAGCCATTCAACCAGAAATGAGCCTCATCGCTGAACAAAATTTGTCGATAAAAAAGCGGATTTTCTGCCAACTTTTCTAGGGCCCATTCACTGAAAATTCGACGTTGTGGCAGATCGTTCGGCTTCAGTTCTTGCACGAGCTGTATTTTATACGGTTTTACACCAAGATCTTTGCGTAAAATCTTCCATGTGGTCGAATAACACAAACCCAATTGCTGCGAACGGCGACGAATCGACATTTCACGGTCTTCAGCAACACTCTCAGAAACAGACGCAATATTCTCTTCTGTACGCACTGTACGCATTCGTGTGGTTGGTTCAATGTCCAATAAAGTAAACTGAGTGCGAAACTTGGTCACAATCGCATTAATTGTTTGCTCACTTGGTCGATTATGTAGACCATAAATCGGACGTAAAGCGCGAAACACATTTCGAACCGAACACTGATTTTGGTAATAAAATTCAATGATTTGCAAGCGTTGCTCGTTAGTAAGTCTATTCATGATGAAATTTCAAAGCATACTGAGCATCTTTCTCTTTGACACCATGTCTGAAATCCCACGTGATCTGTCAAATACTAATGCATGAAAATCCTAACCTCAAAAAAATCACCCGTTACCTATTTATTTAGAAAATTGCATCGGAAAATAACAAAATAATCATATTAATCTGTTAATAAAACTTGCAACTTCTTGCTGGTTTTGCGTTTTCGTACTTTCTTGCATATTTCTCTCATTGGGAGTAAATATTGGCTTACTCTCCGAAATTTGGTTATTGGCAAGTTACTGGATATTGTTTGCTGGATAATACGAAAACACAACTACTCTGAAGGTGCATCATGGCGTCAAGATAAATAATATTTGTGGGGTTGTAATTCTCATCTATATTGTAATATTAATAAGCGTTACCATGTAGCGTTCTAAAAAGTTCCTTACGTAGTATATTAAAAACATCTTATAGCAACTCTTTGTTCTTCAGTTCCTTGGTTTACTTCAACAACCACATTGATTTTGTCTCATATAAATCGTGTGCTGCGCTAAGTATTGTGTGTCGAACAGGGTTGCCACTTTGGGTGACAGGCAACAAGATCAACAGAAATAAGATTGCATACTGGTGCGAAATAAATTCAATTGACATTATTACCTTTTCAAAAGCGAAATAAAATCCATTGACATTATTCCTCTTTCAAACATTAAATTTGTGTAGCTTCGCGGCGGCCTGCAGGCAGTGAATAAAGCCCTCGATACTTTACATTTTTATATTTGTAAGTTATTGCTGTGGTGGCAACAGCTTATCGGCAGTAAAAAAAGCATATAATTTGTTTTCAAAAGTGTGTGAAAACCAATCAATAAACTTACATGATCTCGGTTCGGATAATAAATAATCAATAATTGTTTATACCCGCATTTTGGCACTGATTTCAATGTGCCATGTAATAAATAGTATCGTTCTCCTTAGCTGCTTTGAAATGATGCCACAAATTGTTGGCGACGGCATGAATACAGCGTAAGAAAATTACTTTTCTATAATTGTTTCCTTATACAAAAGGTTTCTTTTCCACTCTAGACATTCCGAATTCGTTCAAAATATGCTAATTTAAAAACAATTCTTTCAGTCTTCTTCCAGGGGTTTTGGAAATGGCGGCAATCCACTGTTTCTGCAATTTAAAAGTATTCGCTTTATTTTTGGGAACGAAACATGTTTTGCCAGTTCTGGATCATTTCTACATTCTTTCTTCAAATATTTTTCGAATCCAGCTCTTTTTGCGTTTGTCTTTTCGCATCGTGTTTTTATTATATTCGTAATTTTAAATTTTTTATTAAAATCAATTGGTGGGGCTTCTTTGTGTGTTGATTAATAGCACACTGATAATTTGGCAATAACCTCTTTCATCTATGGAAACAATGTTTATTGTAACAAAATGCACCAGTATGCGAAATAGTGTCAATTGACCTCATTTGCGTTGATCTTGTTACTTGTCACCGCCACTTTGGTATATTATTACCAAAACTGTTAAAAAAAAATTTGTGTTGGTAAAACCTAGGAGATGCAATTAACAGGATTTAAATTAGCTAAATACAAAAATTTTAACTTTTATTGAAATAAAACAAAACTGTAGTCTTTATTAAAATAACTAAAAAAAAGTTATTGGTAGATCTTTTCGGGATTTGGTACATTTTTTTTTTGAAGTGGATAGTAAGTATTTTTTTCGTCAATGGCAACCCTGGTGTTGAAATAGTTTTAACTTCTAAGATATCTATACTCTGAAATTGCTGTACACAACCTTCGCCCGACCGAAGCTTGAATGTGTTGAATTTATTTGCAGACCTCATCATAAATAACTACACTGGTCTACAAATTTCAACTTTTTTTCTGCGAATAAGACGGGACCTGGTGTTTCTGAACGGATTTTTCGTGCTGAACACGAATCAGGGGTCAAAAATGTCCCATCACGTCACGTTTTCGAGAAAAAAGGGGTTGAAACCCCTAAAAACAGCGTTTTTGGCCATTTTCGAAAAATTATAGAGCTGAACCCTGACGTGGTACAAATTTTGCATATATCAGAAATTAAAGGCTATCCCGTGCCCTATGCCGAATTGATCGCGTGCACCCTTAAAGCAGGGGGTGTATTTGTGTTTAGGGGTGCAGGAAAAATTGATCACAGAAAGAATTTAATCTTAAACGATCATAGAAAATTAATAATGCCAAGGTTTTAACTATATTAAAAGTCGCTGATTACGAATCTGCAGTTAGATTTTAAAAATTTAAGATGACGGGTCGAATATGGTGGATATAAAAATTGGACTCCTAGACTCAAATACACCCCCTGATCTAAGGGTGCATGCGATTAATTCGGCATAGGGCTCATTCGAAAGGGCACGATTTAGCCTTTAATTTCTGACATATACAAAGTTTGTAGCACGTCAGGGTTCAGCTCTACAATTTTTCAAAAATGGCCAAAAACGCTGTTTTTAGGGGTTTCAACCCCTTTTTTCTCGAAAACGTGACGTGATGGGAAGTTTTGGACCCCAGTGTTCAGCACGAAAAATCCGTTCGGAAACACCAGGTCCCGTCTTATTCGCAAAACCCTTGTAGACCAGTGCGATTGATAGAATATAGCGTATTCAAAGGTCTTGCTTAAATATGTACATATGTATACCCTTAGTTTTCTAACACTCCTATTCTGCAACACTTTCGTATTCGGATTTTGCTACGAATCGTAGATATGGTAGGCTGCAATCCGAATCGTATTTTCGAACTTTCGAAACCCGTAACAATGACATGCCTGAAAACAAGCGAGTAAGAAATTGACAGGTATTTTGCAGAGATACTCAACAAACTATGAATCGATTTCGTTTTGTTGATGCGCATAAAGAACTTATTAAAAATAGTTTCGTTTCGTTTCAGAGCTGAATTAACGAAACAAATCATCAATCGTTAACAACGAAACAAAATAAATCAACGAAAAGTTGTTGCTGTATGCCATTGCCAGCTCACTATTATCACCTAGCAGCTAAATGCATGCTACAGCTTCAGCATTAACGATTAAATTTCTTTTCGTTAAAAACCAAAATAGAATTATTTTGATAATTACCTAAACGATAAAACACTGAATCGTTTCAACAGAAACGATTGCTTTTTTTGGTAAACGCTAAAATTAACGTTACAATGCATCTATTTTGCGTAATTTTGTACGAAAACAATTCTGTGTCGGAAGCGAGACAGAAATTAAGCAAAAAGATATAAGTCGATGTGGTTTTGGAGGAAATATTCGTGGTGTTCTCTCTCTATGCTTTATATGAACGATCAAAAAAGAATGTTTGTTGCCCCTTATTGAGAAACTCGGGTACAGTTTAGTTATTTGTACAATCTTGACAAAAACCCATGTGAAACCGCCGTTAGAGAAGGAAATATTATCTTTCGTTGTAAACCTTCAAGATACTTTCTCAACCGTTAACCATTCTGATGAAAAAAATAAAGAGTTTATGTAGATGTGGGCAATTTAGTTTTCAACCTCCAAGAGGCTCTCAGACAAATATAATCGAAAAACTTATTTACAGCCTGAATTGGTATATGTTTGACATATTAGTCAGTGAGGAACATCTCATCTATACATACAAATACATAATCTTATTTCAAAATCTACTGAAGAAATTTGGAGGAGACTTGGTAGAATTAGCATTAGTCAATCCGATATTACCGTTCATAATTCCATTTTAAGTTTTCCTGTAAATTCGCTATAAATTATGCTGGTGGATTTCAAAATAGTAATTCGCATAAAGGTGTTAGTATTGGTGACAGGTAAAATTCAAAAGTGTATGAAAAAAGATGTCGAATTTCGATAACTGGGCGATACTAAGTAGTTTTATTAAATACAGACTTCACAGTTACCTGAGAAACTTTTCGAGGAGCTTCTGACGGCAAACGAGCAATTTTCATTCTCTGCTTTAAATCACTGCGTATGGACGAGACATAACCTATCATGCTTCTGGAAGCTTTGCAGTTTTTAGATGGTGGTAGAGGAAGTTAAAGAGTTGAAGCGTAGAAACGGAAACGGTAAGGATTTCAGAAATATATACCTAAATTACAGGATCATTTACACGAACTACTTAAAACCAAGGCTGTTTTAAAATTGAGCAGGGAGACACCTCCAAACTCATGGCTATCTGTTCAGGACACTGGTCCATGGATGTGTACGCCGAAAGTGTAGACTTGTTTCCCTACATGTTCTGCGTCAACTGCAAGGACCCGGGCTCGACGGAGATAATTCTTCTTCTCTTTCGAGAGTGATGCTAAAGAAAACTCGCCAACATTACCTTAGAATATTCGAATAAACTGAAATATGTAAATCAAAACCTACAAAAGGCTGTAAGTTTGCACAAGTGAGTGGTTTAAAATTTTGCCGACGACTGCGCCATCTTCGCGACGATCAAAATATCGACCCCCTTCGTGACAAGTTAATTGGCTACCTCTTCGATTTAACTGGGTTCTTTACTGCCAGCAACCCACACATTTCTGTCGACAAATATTTTGCCACACTAAACGTCAACAGCTCCAACATACCATTAGTAAATCACCCCAAGAATAGTAGTCACGTTCGATAACTAGTCCTAGTTTCCACACACACTACCGCCACCTTCGAGAAAATAGGTCCCCAAGGCAAAAAAAATGCAGTTATACGTATGGCTACAGGCTGCCCTCGCGTTTATAGGCCTCAAGTTCTCCGAGCCGTGTGATGAAGATGACAACGCTATGGGAACCCTGGGGGTATTGGCTCCTGCTGCTATTTCAAAAACAACAAGCTTTTGTACAAATAAAAGACTCTTCTAAAATCTTAACGAGGGCTTCAGAGTGAAATCTTCCGGTCTTAGTTTCGTGTTACCAGACAGCAGCTGCTGAAGAGCTGCATATGCAAGGTAAAGATTTCAGAAAGAAAGAAGAGACACTGGCTGGCCTGAAGCCTTTCGGAGATGATTGAGAGCTCTATTCGAATGGAGACCTTTCTTAACCCTAGAGTACAAATATTCGTCGATTCGATGACTACCACTCTCATTTTACTTATTTGCTCTTCACTGCGTCGTGTGATTGCTGACAGATTTTATGTGCGGTTAGCGCTTTATCTTTTGTTGTTAGAGGATACGCGTTTTTAGTTTGAACTATCGGAATTTGGTTTTTTGCCTTAACTTCTCGCCTATACGAAGTTTAGACTTGTGTCTAATGCGGAAAATGAATTTATAACTGAAAGTTTTGCTGTTTATTTTTTTTTTTAATTGCGGGCGAATATAATTTGTTACTTTTAGCCTCGTTTGTGAAGTTCAAGAGAAAATTTAGTCCGGTTTTGTATACTTTTTTATAAAATATGTGAAGCATATGCGAAATATATTGAATAGACAATATTCTTGAGTATTTATGGACCTGAAAGTTGTTTTATCATTAGGTTCAAATACCAACAATTTTAGTAATATGTACAAGATTTAGTTACAGGGTTTTAGCATCAACTCGACGATCATTAGTGCTAACGTATACAAAATGTGGTTAGTACTCTAGAGTTAAGAAAGGATTTTTGCACCTGCGCATTTTCCTGCCAGAAACCCCCTACCTCTAAAAAGCCTAATAAGATAATGTCGCTAAGTGGTTATATCGCAATCTTTACCTTTTGTATTGGTCAAAAAATTTAATATTAGGTTACATTAAGGGGGTTTGTGGCATACATTCCTTTGAAGACTTGTATGTGTTCTCTAAGAGCGAGGCATCAAAATCAAAATCGGTCCCTAAGTAATTTGCCGATTATTAACTAACCTGTAGGAGATACGACAGGGAGTTCTGACTACTTTCACTGCTTGTATCCTTAATTATGGCACACTTATCGAGGTTGGATCTTCCACCCGAGGTGTCATGCGCGCTGTGGCGACCGATGAGTCCAATGCCCGCCAGCGCCGTGTTTTTCGCTGAAATTATTCGATGGATGCCAGAACCGGCGGGTGATAATTGGCGTGCTCTATGTCGTAACGAATTTCGCTTAGTACACATTAGCAGAATGCAAAACATCAACAGCGTAAGGAGAAATGTACCGACGGATATTAGTGCAATCAGTAATATTTTCAAATTAACTTGACATTTTGCACCAGTGTACCATGCGAAACATTCGCAGACTGTATTTTCAACAGCCTTGGTAGCTACGCACTTGCCGTGGTAGTGGCATTGGTCGCAACCAATCAGCTCTTGTGAACACATTCGTCCCGGATAAATGGAGTTGCCAGATAAGTCCGCGAAACCTTCTTTGCAGCTGCATGTGTAAGTGCCTTGCAAGTTGAAGCAACGCGCGTTTGGAGAGCAATCATGGAACTGTATGTAAACGCACTCATCGAAGTCTGAAAATTTAATTTTGCAATTAATTTTGCATATATCAGTACAATTTATGAGAAGATTTGTGATGTGGGTACTAGAAAAGATACTTACCAATTATTGCCAATGATTCCACGCCATTGCGATTTGTAAAGAGCTCCGTTCCGCCGATGCTGTAATTACTAAGCCGAAGGTACTTTTTAAATACACCCGCCAGACGTTTTTCGTCGCTGTTTTCTGAAAGCTGCGCAAATCATAAAAAAGTTTTTGTCGATTATTCGGGGAAATTTTCGGAGTTGCAATAAATATTCGAAACTAAAAACCTCCCATTGGTGTACGAGTAATTAGTAATTTTCAATGCGTATTCACAGTTTAAGCAATAGTCTTAAGAAACGTAAAATCTTCCTGATTTTCTTACTCATCGCGTACACAAATACCACATATAATAGAATTATAGTTAAAAGTTAAATGAATAAAAACTAATATGAGCGACAACTCCGCCAAGAGCTGAAGCTAGCTAAAAGTTCGACGGTAGGCAATCATGTGTCGGGTGGTTATTAAGTCCTTCCTCAATCCGTCGATGCACAACCATGCGGTCATCACCTTTGGCGACAAAACATACCCGGAACACAATATGTGGGCGGAAGCTTTTAGACGACAATTTATTTAGAGAAGTTGAGCAGGCGAGTGGGCTGAGTTG